ATTTAAGAGACTGAGCTGAAAACAGCACCTCAGACTGAGGAAGTCTCTTGGATGAGAGACGAAACGTTTCTAGATTTTTTTTGCTTTGTTTTGTTTTTTGTTTTTTTTGAATGTCCAGAGGACCAGATTGAACTTTTTTGGATTTTTCTACCTGGATTATTGAGCATGCATCAGGATACATGTGGTTTATAGACTCAAAAGTCTACAACACATACATTCTTATTTTTTATTTCTTTAGAAAAGTGAAAACCCTTTGGGTTAGATTTTGCAACAGCCATTAATTACGTCAATAAATCCCAAAACTGTACTGTATAACTAAAAGGGTGAAGGTTCACGCAGCCTGAGCTACTCAATGTGCTCATTTAAACAGCAGGGTGTGCTGCAACATTACATTGTAATGCCACCGTTATGATGGTCTCTTCTGCATTAGACTATACAATTTCTGAGAATTATTATTAAATGTTAAAATAATAAGTAAATATAAATGAAAAAAAAAGTATTTTCCTACGATAACTGCTGTCGTTGTTCCTAAAACATTGCAATCGCTATTGCATTCAGTCCAACAAGAAAAGAGTGGGCGTTTACGAGGAGCACGTAAACGCAACGAAGTCTCGATTTTTCAACCAATCAGAAGCGAGCAAGCGTTTTAAGTTTGAAGACGCAGCTCTTTGCTGCTGCATTCACTGCCGACTTTGCTGAGCAGATTAGAGTCGTGTGTCTCTTGTCGGTTTCAGCGAAGAATGTCCATTTAAAGCCAAACGCACCGTACTTTGGGGGGAAAAAACACACAAAGGTAAGCGTTGAATCGTTCCTGTTTCGGCGGAGATATCCTGTTTCGGGGGTGATATCGCTTTCGCCTCGATGTGCTATCAGGGTAACGTTAGCGCTGCTGGGGACTTTTGAAAATCCAGCTGATGGTGCGAGTTTAAACGACTCTGTGGTTTTGTCACATTTTGTTTGAACAGCTGTCTCTCAGGCATTGAGGTTCACTTAATTTAACTAGCTAAGTTGACCTCCATTTAAAAAAATATATATAAAAAAGGCGGCGCAGGTACGTTGTTTTACGATGTAAATAAAGTGGATGTCGTAGCTTCTGCGCGACGTGATAAAGTTGAAGCAGTTTGAAGCGTGTTTAGTTAAATATTGTTCCTGACAATCATGGTAAACTGTAATTCACAAACTCAAAAGCTGATATCGCATTAATGTAGCTTCCTATTTTGAAAAGAGGTAGCTGCTAGCCTTGTTTTCAGCCGCAGTGGTTTAAAAAAAGATGCACACCTCTGGCTACTTTCGTCTCGTTTGCTAGCTGTAGCAGTTTAACTAGATATGGTTGAAGGCTTCCTTGGTAAGACGACATGTAGTTTAAAAACGTGGTCAGGTTAATGTCGTTTTTACACAACAGCCTCTTTGCAAACTGTCAACACGTGGGGCAGTGTTGCAAAACCTGAGAATACGAAATGTTTTATTTTGGTTTGTGTCTCAACTTCCAAGTCTATGGTGAATTATATTACAGTATTAGTTTTGCTAACCTTGACACTAATGTGTGTGAATACTGTCAGACTCCTTGTGAAATGATGACTGAGCCTCATTTGATTTAATCTGAAATAGGATGACTGCACACTTTAGGAGGTGTAGCCATTGCTCATTTAAGTTTTATCCTACCACAAACTGCAGATTGAAATCTTTTGTCTAATCAGCTGATTTTCTGTGTTTTTTTTAAAAGGTCTGAGTTAACTGTAGTGCAGTGGTCCCCAACATTTTGTGTGCCACAGACCGGTTTCATGTCAGACAATATTTTCACGGACCGGCCTTTAAGATGTGGCAGATAAAAACTGGTATTTTCTAAATGCACTTGGATTTGACTAAGCAAATAGGTACGAGCCTCCTATTGTATAATTACTGCATAGGTGATTATCTTTCATCTGGCAACAAGTTATTTAACCCCAACTGGTGCAATGAGTTGCTTCTCGTTTCTTAAACAACCATGTTGAAAGACGCATCGTGTGGTCGTGGAAAAGATGTCCGTCTGTTTGAGAAGGGTCAAATCATTGGCATCAAGCGGAGAAAACATCGAAGGAGATTGCAGAAACTAACATTAAGTCAAGAACTGTCCAACGCATTATTAAAAACTGGAAGGATAGTGGGGACCCATCGTCTTTGAGGAAGAAATATGGCCGGGAAAAAAAACTGAATGGTTGTGATTGGCGATCACTTGGTGAAATCAAATCGAAGAAAAACAACGGTAGCACTCAGGGCTGTGTTTAATAGTGAAAGTAAGAGCATTTCCACACGCACAGTGTGAAGGGAACTCGAGGGAACGGGACTGAAAAGCTGTGTAGTCTTAAGAAAACCACTAATTCGTGAGGTTAACCAGAATAAAAGGCTTCAATGTGCTAGGGAGCATAAAGATTGGACTCTGGAGCAATGGAAGAAGGTCATGTGGTCTGATGAGGCCAGATTTACCCTGTTCCAGAGTGATGGGCGCATCAGGGTAAGAGAGGCAGGTGAAGTGATGCATCCATCATGCCTAGTGTCTAGTCATCAATACAAGATCTTGGTGACAAATTAATGCAGCACTGGATGGAAATGGATTTTGTGACATTGCAGAAGCTTATCGAAACAGTGCCACAGTGAATGCATGCAGTAATCAAAGCTAAAGGAGGTCCAACGGAATAGTAATGTGACCTTTTTATTTATTTGATTTTTTTTGGTTGGGACGTTTTTTTTTGGCCAGGCAGTGTATAATAATAAACGTGAGTCCACTGTATGCCAGCATTTCCCAGTGAATGACACAATGGGTAGACTCTCATTCAGGTGCAGCTTCCTTAATCCGAGCAGTTAAACCAGACATCTGTTCGGTCATGGCAGCATATATGTGCATATGCCGACATATGATCAGTTTTTCCTGATGTAGAATCTTCCAGTGACTTGAATAGTTCTGCGGCTGTGGTTCTGGTTGGCAACGATGGTGCACGTAACATATCCTCATGCACATGGATAAGCGGTAATGGATTATGTGATACCAGCGGGAGCAGCCACTTTAAGAAGGTAGCCATGTGACCGAGGCTTGACCTGCGTCAAGAGAGAGTCCAACAGATGTGGCAGAGAGAATCTGGTAATTTTCCAAAATGCAACATTGTTCAGAATCAGATACTAAATAACACAAAAACAATGTAAGTTATGTATTCTTTCTGTGCATTCTGGTACCAATTGACCCACGGACCAGTACCGGTCCACAGCCCCGGGATTGAGAACCACTGTTGTAGTGGACATCTTGAATTAAGTTGGCTCCAAACAGTATTTTTTTTTTCTAGATGCACAGCCATTTCAATACTTCAAGTTTTATTGAAATTACTTTAATTGTTCATGAGATATTGTGGGTTCAATCAGACATGGGCAAAAACACAATGTTTCACTTTCAGCAAGCTGGTAAGTGTTTCAGATTTGTGCTCTCTTGCAAAGTGTCTTTTCCATTCCATATTAACTCTGTCTGGGGAAAAAAAAAGCTATGATTTATTTTAGTTGAACTGTATCATTTTAAGAATAGCTGCATGTAATGAGTGGAGTGGACCTCATCGAGGTCTCACATCCAGAGGTTATGGTGTTTGAGGCTCACCAGACTGTCATTTTCCCACTGCAAGGCATTCCAGCTGTTTGTGTCACAACTGGCTTCCCAAGCCCATCCTGATTCAGATGGTGTTGTGCAAGAAAGATGGAAGTGATCCACAGGATAAGCTTTTCTCTGTATTTCAGCCCCATGTGTGGCTGCACATGTTGAAGTTTGTCTTCCTGTTAATAATAACAGAACTTGTTTATGTATTTTACAGTGGTTTTTCTTTGGAAAAAGTAAAGCAAAGTTGGTGAACCGCAGTTGTTATATCCAGTTTGTGAAGTGGGCTGAGTAGCTGCAGCAGAAAGTGTCCTTGCAGGAAGGTCTTTAAAAAAAAAAAAATTAGGACCTCAAATAAAAGAACAAAAGATTCATTGTTGTTGAGCTTGAATGAAAGAAAGTTTTATTTACCTGAATGACTTGTCCCAATTGGGAGGAGCTATTCAGTTATTTTTAGAATAAACCGGTATCTAAATACTAACAAGTGTGGCTTCATAGGGTGTTGATCTGTCTCCTGGATAATACAGCTGCAGGAACATGTCTTGTTCTGTTCTGGAGTATTTTTTCCCCCTTCTTGAGTACAAGTTTTCACAACTACAAAAAGGGATCAAGTTTCACTTCCTTGATTACCAACATCAAAATTTGTCTTCTACAAGGTGTGCAAGACTCCAAAGTCAAGAACTGTAGGTCAGAAGTATTGCCTTGCTACTGGATAGCTGTTGAGTCAAAATTGATTTGCTGCAGTT